AGCAGCATGGAAGGCGCTACAATGCAACTTTGATAAACGAAATAGCAGCCGTAATTAGTGGTGATCAATTTTCTTCACGAAACATTGTCTTGCGAGCACGTGATGATACTGTGACGCCTCATAATTATTATTAATAAATAATAATTAAATTCATTATACAGACATTTAAAAATGTCATAGAAATTATAATTTAAACAATAAAATGCAAATAATAAGCATAGAGTTCAAAAATATCCATTTGGAATATTGAATATTATATATATTAGTAAAGGCATAAAATGTCTCAAAAAATCTCTAAATTTATTAAAAACCTGCTTAAAATGTTTAAAATATATCAAATCATATAAATACAAGGCGATTATATTGCAATAACAAAGATAAATAACATTTGTAATATAATAGAAAAAATGGATTAAAATTTTCTAAGTTGATGAAGGTGTTCGTGTAATAATTGGAAAATTTCTAAGTTAATGAACGTGTTCTTGTAATGTTCCCTTATATTGGGGCGTTGTCGGAGACACATACCCAAGGTTGTACATATATATGGGGTGGTCGGCTGACCGACTGCTAGTACTAAGGTTGCACAATGACTAGTCCTATATTAGGGACTTAACATAGTAAGGTCTGACGAACCAAAGCATTAATATAGAAGGTCTCTATGATGCATAAGCATTATGATAGCAGAGTTATGACTTGAAGTCCCATATGAATAAGACATACAGTAGTATGGTCTATGAAATAAAGCAAATATGTGGAAGGTCTCAAATATGTAAAAGCATTATATTGAAAGAAATGGGACTTGAAAAGGATTATTATAGTGGCGTGTAGGTTGCTTCGCAGCCTCTGAGACCGAGGTAAACTTGGACTCACTAACCGATGTGTCCTAGACATATCATCTTAGTGCCGGTGGTAAGCGGGTTTGTTGTAGCAATACGACTTGCCCGTGGACATCGCACACCCCTACCGGTTGTGGGCGGCGTCTTAGCGCATAGCGTTATGATACGTCGGCTATCTTTCGGATTAGGGTGAGTGTGTTTGGTAGTACTTTTAAGTGCAGCAAGCATACTCAACTTCATGTCTTAGTGCAATAGCGCTATGATACGTGGAGTTTTGGCTACTGACGTCTTAGTACCGTACTACTATGATACGTTAGTGGTATTTTTAGTTAACAACATTATCAAATTTTGTTACCAAAGTCGATAGGGATCATGTGGGTGTGTTGTGAGGGGGTGCCATCCGTATGATAGTTGCATTGATGCTTACTGCTACTTGCAGTATTGTGTCTTGTGATGGATCTTGTGTGGGACTGTATGGGGGACCTTGGGATGGTGTAAGCCCGACGATAGTCGTATTGATGCTTGTTGCATTCTGTAGCATTGCGTCTCTACGATGGTTGTTTGGCGGGTCGCTATTCTCAATGGCGCTCTCTGCGTCTTGGTTTGACTCACAACCTAAGTAGCTTTGCCCAAGTCGGGTCCCTTCATTGCGGGGCTGCAGACTGTCTGCCCTCCATGATGTTTTATATAACAACTTAATAATATATCTCTATAAAGTTTCCACCTTTGAGAGATTGAAGGCAACTTGTTGGTGGGTGAGACAAACATGATCGAAAAATGCATATACTCAACGTCAGTGACACAAACCCTTTCTGATGGCGAATTATTAATATTATCTTATAACTGCCTATTGGCTATATCTGCCATTGTATTGGTTGGTGGAGCATATGTGTTGACCTCATGCGGGTGGTAGCTGGAGGGAGAATCTGAGGAGGCTCTCAAGGCTGCGGCCGAAAGCCGCGCAACGTGGGACCCCATTCCCTTGAGGTGAGCGGTAGACTCATGACACGCTCTGCGGCCAATTGGCCGTGCTGACCATGCAATTGGTGGTGATGCCTTACACTTACATCACGTCTGCAGGAACGGCGGTCTGGCAGGTGGTGGCGCTCACGGAAGGCTTTTTATGGTCAGTGTGCCTATTGTTGCCTAACCCGTGTGACGTACATTTCACTGTGGCTGGATTTGATCGTATTCTGTATGGCGTTTACACGCATTGACATGCGCGACTTCGGTCGATGTTTGTGCTTACGCACTATCAAGGGGCCAAGTCCTCTTTTACTGGTTCGCCAGTTATTTTGCTGTGGACTACGGTCCAGTTCCCAACTTTGCGTACCCTTCGGGGGGAGCGCATTAAAATGGTTGGCGCTCACCGTGCGCGGCGTGTGTGGGGCCGTGTACCTCCTCCACATTTTTTTTAAAATGTGGGAGAGCGAAGCCCTTGTAACTGGTATTTGATATAAATATTGTGAGCCTTTTCCAAGCGGGAAGGGATTAATTAATAAGGAATTGACTGTTGTGAACCAGATACAAGTGGAATAGGGACAATTTATTGTTCTTAACCTTTTTGAGCTCTGTCTTCGTGAACGGGGTTCTTTAGCTTATAAGACTCTACCAACAGCTTTTGATTGCTCTCGTGAATATTCATTCTTCCAAGATACACCTAAAAGAACTAAGTTACTATACAAACACAACGTAAAAAAGGGTCCTAACTAAGACGATCACGCCATAAATTTATTAAACGGCCTATATTTAAACCTTTAGAAAGATCAAGTTATACTGGTCACGTAAATTAGATGTATTTATATATCTTACAGATATAGATTCTAAAGAAATACAAGTATAAGTGGGATATAGTAGAAAAGAAAAAAAAGATGGGGGGGGGGGTTCGTTACAATTTGGTGCCGTGACCAGGATGGAGGTTAAATTTTAAATAGGAGGCCGGTAATATAAAATTATGAGGTAGGCTATATGCCTACAATTTGTTGTCCGTGAAATGGAGAGGTGTCTTGGAGAGTGGTGTTTGCTGGGGGTGGTTGAGAGTCTGGGGGTGGGGCTTATATATTAAAATGGAGTAATAATATAGGAGGTGTGTGCATAACGGAGCGAAATAATAAAAAGTGAAATAAGTGGAAAGACTCAATTAGACTAAGTGAAGGACACAACAGGTGTAAAAAAAAAAAATACTGCAATACTATATATTATAAAGTAAAATAAGTGGAAAAACTCAATTAAAGTAAGTGAAGAACACAAAAAGTGTAAAAAAAAAAAAAAAAAAAACAAGTAGTAATAAATATTAAAAATGGCTAAAAATAAGAAAAAATCAACCTCAATTAAGGCTAAGCCTAAAGATGAGATGAAAATGCTTCAGAAATTAATTAAGAATGCAGTGAAAACCTTTGAGGTTAAAATAAAGGATCTTGAAGAAAAATTTATTAACCAAACGAAAGATTACCAAATTAAAATAAATCAAGGAGAGGTGTCCGGGGCGAGCACCTCTCATGTAAATGATCCTAGACAAAATATTGTATATAATGTACATAATGTAACAATAGAAAAGCCGAAATTCGGAAATGGAAATACTCATCCAGTATCATTTTTGGAAGATCTCACCAATTATTTAAAGAAAGTTCCATCTAATGGTCTCGAAATTTCGATAGCACAAGAGTGCTTAGTAGGTGAAGCCAAGTATTGGGCTCGCATTAATAATGTGCGTTGGACAACTTTTGATGATTTTAAAGCTGACTTCCTAAGAGTGTTTTGGGGTGAAGAAGAACAAAATAAAGTAAAGAGATTCCTTGTGCAAAATAAATGGAATAGAAGTACACACCCCACCATGGTTAGTTATTTTCTTTATGTGGTTGAGAAGGCACAATAATTATCATATCCGATACCTGAAAAACAATTAGTAACTGATGTCATCAGACATTATCCTAAAGCTGTGCAGCAATTATGGAGAATAGCTAAAATTGAGACAATAATAGACACGACAGATTTCTTAAGAAACTTAGATGACATCGACAAACAAGATGAAGGTCGTGAACCTTACTATAATGAGAAAAGGAGGAAGTTTAATAATAATACGGAGCAAAAACATAAAGAAATACAACGATCATACAAAACATGGCGTAAACCCGAAGAGGGAAAAAAGAAGGTTAATGAAGTACATGAAATACATTTCACTAATGACCAACCTGATGTTACGGCCCCTGAGCCAAATTTAGAGCTGTAGAGGTCGAACTAGTTCCCGATTCGACCCCTTACAATGTAAAAGGGAACAAAGCATTAAACATGTTATTAAAACTGGGTTGGCGACCTGGTCAAACATTGCGTAAAAACAATAGAGGGTTGCGAAAACCTATTACTTTAAAAGCAAATTTTAACAGAGAAGGCCTTGGTTATAACGACAATGTAAATAGCATATTAAACACCTTAAAAGCCAGGTCGGACTTGCCCATAACGGAGTTATTCGTGCAAACCGTCTTCGAGGAAGACGAAGATAAATATCAAAGGGAATTTATAGGGAATATGAGATCTGAAATTAAAGTTTCAATATTTGACAAAGAAATAGACGCGCTCCTCGACACTGGGAGCGATGTTACATTCATTTCAGAAAGTTTATATTTACAAATTAAAGAAAATAATCGTAAAATATCAATAATGCCAGTTAAAGCAATGCAAATAAAAGGTGCTGTTGGGCAGCGCAGCACAAAAATACAACAGATGATCATATTGCCTATAAAGATAGATGAAGTAGTCTTTGAAACACAAACTTTAATTGTAGGTAATTTAATAAGACCTTTAATATTAGGCTTTGACTGGCTCAAGAGAAATAAAATATTGATTGATTTGAGAAATACTACTGTTGGAATAGAATTTAAAGTGAAAAACAAAGACTACTTTATACCTTTCAAATATAATAATAAATCTGTATTACATAATAACTGCATCAAACAATGTACCGATGATCCCTTAATAAATATAAAAATAGGATCTACATTGGAGGTCTCTGAAAGGGCAAAACTTAGTAAGGTTTTGGAAAAGCATAAGAATATGTTTTCGAGCAAATTGGGAAGAGCCAATTGCTATGAGCATAAAATTGAAATGATCGATGATGAACCTATAGTTACTAGGTCCTATCCCATTCCATATGCATATAGAGCGAAAATGGAAGAAAAGTTAAATGAAATGGAACAAGCTGGTATCATCACAAGGACATCAACGCCTTACAGTAGTCCATTGACATTCACTCTTAAAAAAGACGGCTCAATTAGAGTTCTGCTTGATGCCAGAAGCATAAATAAGAAAATGGTTGCAGAAACAGAGAAACCACCTATACAATTAGATGTTTTGAATTCATTTCACGGAGCGAATTATATCACTACCATTGACTTAAATAATGCATATTTTCAAATTCCGATAAATAAAGATGGTAGAAAATATACTGGATTCACATTCAATGGAAAGTCATATGTATATAATGTTTTGCCGCAAGGATTAAAAACATCAGTAGGAAGCTTTAGCAGAGCCATGAATTTAATATTAGGACCAGAAGTCCAAGAATTTTGTGTGAACTATTTAGATGATCTAGCCATTATTACAACAGGAACGTTAGATAAACATTTGGAGCACATTGATATTGTTTTAAGTAAATTGAACAAAGCTGGCTTAACGTGTAACTTGCAGAAATGTGAATTTATTTGTAAAGAAATTAAAATGCTGAGTTTTATAATTTCAACAGAAGGCATAAAGACAGATCCCGATAAGATTCGAGCGATCCAAGAGTTTCCAGCACCTAAAAAGATTAAACAATTAAGGGCCTTTTTAGGTCTATGCAATTTTTATAGAAGGTTTATACCAAATTACAGCGAGAGCATAATACCGCTCTGTGAATTACTTAAAAAGGGACGAAAGTTCCAATGGAGCGGTAAAGAACAGAAGGCATTTGATTTTATAAAACAACAATTTATTAATACAATACAATTGCATCATCCAGACTTTAATTAGCCGTATTATTTACAAACAGATTGTTCCGGTGTGGGTATGGCCGGAGTACTATATCAGATAGATGATAATAATGAAATGAGAATTTTAGGCTATTATAGTAAAGCCTTAAAAGGCCCCGAATTAAATTGGTCTGTTACTGAACAAGAGATTTATGCTGTAATAAGCTGCCTAAAGAAATTTGAAACATATTTGTGGGGCAGTAAAGTAATAATACTAACTGATCATAAAGCATTATTGTTTATTAATAATATGAAGTTATTCAATGGTAGAGTAACCCGATGGATTTTGTATATAGAACAATTTAATTATGAAGTACAGCATATATCGGGTAGACGTAATATTGTTGCAGATGTGCTATCACGTTATCCTCCTGATGGCGATTTAATACAAGAGGATAAAAATAATAGTTTAGAAATTGCTTACACAGAGAGCGAACCGAATATTGAGTTGATAGAAAAATTAAAATCCTTATCAGTATATCAATTACAAGATTCAGAGTCGTTGGCTATTATTGAAAAGTTAAAGACATTAAATACTTCCATAATAAAACAAAACAATAAATTTAAAAGATATAGTTTGAAAAATGATGTATTATATTACAAAACGAATTTACAAGAAGTAATATATTTACCTAAAGCATTGAGACAAGATATTATAAATCAAGTGCATGTCGAAATGGGTCATCAAGGACCCTATAAGGTAATTAAATATGTGAGAGACAGATTCTTTTGGAAAGGTTTAACAAAAGATATTAAAAACCAATTAAGGGCTTGTCATTTATGTCAGTTATCTAAGAAAAGCAATATAACATATGTGGGTCCCTGCAAATCTATAATAACAGAAAACATTGGCGATATAGTCATGGCAAACTTATATGGACCGCTTGTATCAGGTACCTTTGGGTACACTTTCATATTTGTCATTCAAGATTCATTCAGTAAATTTATCAAATTATATCCTTTAAAACAGTCAACAGCAAAGTCTGTTGTAACAAAAGTAAAGCATTTTGTTAAGATTATAAAGCCCAAGGCAATAATGACAGATAATGGAAAACAGTTCGTAAGTAATCACTGGAAACAATCAATGAGTGAATTAAATATAAAGCCAATATATACCACAGTTAGAAATCCTAGACCAAATACAACAGAGCGAGTAAATAAAGAGTTGAGCAGATTATTTAGAACGCTTTGTCATACTAACCACAAAGATTGGGCGTTAATATTGCCGAAATTAGAAGAATTGTATAATAATTCTTATCACAATAGTACAGGCTTCACACCTCGTGAGATTCTTTATGGTGAGTCTAATGAGATGTCTTTTGACAAAGTAATTTCCAAAAGTAAAGACAAACATAATGTCGGACAAATTAGACAACAAGTGCGTAAAAATTTAAAAGAGGCAAGTCGAATAAGAAACACAAAATTTGATAAGCGAAATAGATTAATAAAATATAATATTGGTGACTTAGTAAAAATTTCAAGATCTAGTAGATCAGACGCTGATAATAAAGTTATGAGTAAGTTCAATTTGGCATATGAAGGACCTTATGTAATAGCAGCCGTACCATTTGACAATGTATATACCTTAGCAAATCCAGAGACAAACGAAATTAGAGGAATTTTCAATGCTATTCACTTATTAAAATATTTTAAATAATAATTTCTTTTTGTATAAATTAGAGTAATTAAATAAATATTGTAACATAAAAGGGTTTTGTGGGTGGCCCATGGAAATAATTGTTTAAGTTAAAGGTCTAAAATTATTAAAGTTATGAGCAAGAGATTTGTTATATGATAGTAGAACATTATTAATATATAATGAAGAGTTGTAAATATAGATCGTAAGATAATTTTGTAATCATTTTTATTAAATAAATATGGGAGTTGGGTCAGGGCGAATGGCTCAAACACATTTATCCTATGTGGTATCGAACTGACCTCAACAAATATCAAACTGGATTGTATGCACATAAAGTGTGACACTGTCGAAATAATGTTTCAAAGATTTAAAGATAAATTAATAAAATAAGAAATCGACAATTGACTGCAAACTTTATTAACAACACGATATACAATAACTTGAATTATGGTGTTATCACATTGTGATAATTGTGGTTGAAGGGGTGTTGGTGGCAGCCATTCCCTGGGGCAGGGGGATTTGATAACATATGCCGTATTGTAACAGATTAAAAGAGGAAAGAACAGATATATCAACAATTATTTGAGTGTAGTGAATATGCTCTCAAAATACTAAAATTTTATATTAACGACTCCACTATGTGGATCATTAACATAAAATTTGGGGGTGGATTGTGACGCCTCATAATTATTATTAATAAATAATAATTAAATTCATTATACAGACATTTAAAAATGTCATAGAAATTATAATTTAAACAATAAAATGCAAATAATAAGCATAGAGTTCAAAAATATCCATTTGGAATATTGAATATTATATATATTAGTAAAGGCATAAAATGTCTCAAAAAATCTCTAAATTTATTAAAAACCTGCTTAAAATGTTTAAAATATATCAAATCATATAAATACAAGGCGATTATATTGCAATAACAAAGATAAATAACATTTGTAATATAATAGAAAAAATGGATTAAAATTTTCTAAGTTGATGAAGGTGTTCGTGTAATAATTGGAAAATTTCTAAGTTAATGAACGTGTTCTTGTAATGTTCCCTTATATTGGGGCGTTGTCGGAGACACATACCCAAGGTTGTACATATATATGGGGTGGTCGGCTGACCGACTGCTAGTACTAAGGTTGCACAATGACTAGTCCTATATTAGGGACTTAACATAGTAAGGTCTGACGAACCAAAGCATTAATATAGAAGGTCTCTATGATGCATAAGCATTATGATAGCAGAGTTATGACTTGAAGTCCCATATGAATAAGACATACAGTAGTATGGTCTATGAAATAAAGCAAATATGTGGAAGGTCTCAAATATGTAAAAGCATTATATTGAAAGAAATGGGACTTGAAAAGGATTATTATAGTGGCGTGTAGGTTGCTTCGCAGCCTCTGAGACCGAGGTAAACTTGGACTCACTAACCGATGTGTCCTAGACATATCATCTTAGTGCCGGTGGTAAGCGGGTTTGTTGTAGCAATACGACTTGCCCGTGGACATCGCACACCCCTACCGGTTGTGGGCGGCGTCTTAGCGCATAGCGTTATGATACGTCGGCTATCTTTCGGATTAGGGTGAGTGTGTTTGGTAGTACTTTTAAGTGCAGCAAGCATACTCAACTTCATGTCTTAGTGCAATAGCGCTATGATACGTGGAGTTTTGGCTACTGACGTCTTAGTACCGTACTACTATGATACGTTAGTGGTATTTTTAGTTAACAACATTATCAAATTTTGTTACCAAAGTCGATAGGGATCATGTGGGTGTGTTGTGAGGGGGTGCCATCCGTATGATAGTTGCATTGATGCTTACTGCTACTTGCAGTATTGTGTCTTGTGATGGATCTGCGGGTGTGCTGCACCTGATTCGATGCATCTTGTGGTTCTGGTCGATGGAGGTATGCGGGTGGTGATGTCTGCTGGGACTGTATGGGGGACCTTGGGATGGTGTAAGCCCGACGATAGTCGTATTGATGCTTGTTGCATTCTGTAGCATTGCGTCTCTACGATGGTTGTTTGGCGGGTCGCTATTCTCAATGGCGCTCTCTGCGTCTTGGTTTGACTCACAACCTAAGTAGCTTTGCCCAAGTCGGGTCCCTTCATTGCGGGGCTGCAGACTGTCTGCCCTCCATGATGTTTTATATAACAACTTAATAATATATCTCTATAAAGTTTCCACCTTTGAGAGATTGAAGGCAACTTGTTGGTGGGTGAGACAAACATGATCGAAAAATGCATATACTCAACGTCAGTGACACAAACCCTTTCTGATGGCGAATTATTAATATTATCTTATAACTGCCTATTGGCTATATCTGCCATTGTATTGGTTGGTGGAGCATATGTGTTGACCTCATGCGGGTGGTAGCTGGAGGGAGAATCTGAGGAGGCTCTCAAGGCTGCGGCCGAAAGCCGCGCAACGTGGGACCCCATTCCCTTGAGGTGAGCGGTAGACTCATGACACGCTCTGCGGCCAATTGGCCGTGCTGACCATGCAATTGGTGGTGATGCCTTACACTTACATCACGTCTGCAGGAACGGCGGTCTGGCAGGTGGTGGCGCTCACGGAAGGCTTTTTATGGTCAGTGTGCCTATTGTTGCCTAACCCGTGTGACGTACATTTCACTGTGGCTGGATTTGATCGTATTCTGTATGGCGTTTACACGCATTGACATGCGCGACTTCGGTCGATGTTTGTGCTTACGCACTATCAAGGGGCCAAGTCCTTTTTTACTGGTTCGCCAGTTATTTTGCTGTGGACTACGGTCCAGTTCCCAACTTTGCGTACCCTTCGGGGGGAGCGCATTAAAATGGTTGGCGCTCACCGTGCGCGGCGTGTGTGGGGCCGTGTACCTCCTCCACATTTTTTTTAAAATGTGGGAGAGCGAAGCCCTTGTAACTGGTATTTGATATAAATATTGTGAGCCTTTTCCAAGCGGGAAGGGATTAATTAATAAGGAATTGACTGTTGTGAACCAGATACAAGTGGAATAGGGACAATTTATTGTTCTTAACCTTTTTGAGCTCTGTCTTCGTGAACGGGGTTCTTTAGCTTATAAGACTCTACCAACAGCTTTTGATTGCTCTCGTGAATATTCATTCTTCCAAGATACACCTAAAAGAACTAAGTTACTATACAAACACAACGTAAAAAAGGGTCCTAACTAAGACGATCACGCCATAAATTTATTAAACGGCCTATATTTAAACCTTTAGAAAGATCAAGTTATACTGGTCACGTAAATTAGATGTATTTATATATCTTACAGATATAGATTCTAAAGAAATACAAGTATAAGTGGGATATAGTAGAAAAGAAAAAAAAGATGGGGGGGGGGGTTCGTTACAA